GGGTAGTGCTGAAGATGGAGTTGTGAAGATGAAAAATGATTGGGCAGAATTTAATCATTGTCAAAATTATGAGCACATATGAACTTATTATGCTCTAATTTACATATGCTTGAAATTTAATAAGAAGTTTGGGGAAAATAATGCCTAAAATTATGTATTATGATGGTAGGGAATATTATGAAACAATTTAATATTATATTTTAAAATCTTTACTCTTTAGGACCTGCGGATCAAAGTCTATAGCTTTAATAAAAATTACTTAAGTTAGCTTCATTGCCTTTTAGAAAAATATCATTTGTTTGGAATACAGAATGATATTTGAAGTCTCCAGATTTTAACAGAACAGTGTAATTGTAAGCTAGAGTTTCCAAGTAAACTTTGAAAAAATGCCATATTGATGATAGGAGTAATGTTAAAATCTTTCAGTCAATACTGCAGTGGGAAAGAGTTCACATAAATAACTGTATCCTTTTCTCTGAAGTGATAATCAATAATAGGAGCTCATAGAACACTGATTCTCAACCCATTTGTGCATCAGCATTACCTGGGGAGTTTTTAACAACTAAGATTCTTGGCTCCACCCCTGGAGATTGATTGTCTTTTGACTGGGGTTGAGCTCAGGCATTAGTATTTCTAAAAGCCCCCTAGATGATTCTCAGCCAGAGTTGAAAGCCTATTTTAAGATGTAAACATAAAGCACCTTTTTTAGCACTCCTTAAAGAATCTTTCCCTAGTGGATAGAGCTGTCCTTTCCACTGAATTGCATAATAGTTTGTTATCTAGAATGTTACATCGCTTTCCTGACAGTGTAAAACAAGTTCCATTACAAGCTGCTTGGTAATCAATGTTAAATCAATGTGTGTTTTATTCAGATTTGAATTAAAATTATATTTTGACACAAAAGTCCTCTTTAAATTTCATTGGAACGGGCTGGGGATGTGGCTCAAGCTGTAGCGCGCTCGCCTGGCATGCGTGCGGCCCGGGTTCGATCCTCAGCACCACATACAAACAAAGATGTTGTGTCCGCCGAAAACTAAAAAATAAATATTAAAATTCTCTCTTCTCTCTCTCTCTCAATAAAAAAAAATCTTTAAATAAATAAATAAATTTCATTGGAACTGGGCTGAGATTGTAGCTCAGTGGTAGAGCGCTTGCCTCGCACTTGTGAGGCCCTGAGTTCAATCCTCAGCACTACATAAAAATAAGCAAATAAAAATAAAGATATTGTGTTCATCTACATATATATATAAAATTGGTACTGAATCAAGATATTTTTTGGTAAATCTGTTTGGATTTCAAATTAGTATATTTTGAAAATATTCTTTTAACTGTTTTCTAATATTACTTTTATTTTTAAATTATCATCCAAATAATGGTAAGTATATTCATTTAGCATTCATGCTGGAAATTATTTTGACTGTAGCAAAAGGAAAACCATGAGAAGAAAATAAATTTTGCTCTTCTGCTAATAGAAGTACTTTGAAGTAAAACAAACCCCTTTTATTTGTGTTTACCCCAGTACCTAGAACAGTGAGATACAGAAGGCACTCAGTAAATTTTATGCCGAATGAGTAAATGAACTCTTAAATTATTTCATGAATTCTTAAATCATGAAATTATATCTTAACTCTGTATTAACTCCAGAAGATTTGTATACAGTAGAAAAGGAAATTCAATCATTTTTGTCACTTTTCTTCCATGCTTAACTTTCTTTGAGCTCTTTCTAGAGGTAGATTCTGTTTTAGTTCTTACAGATACAACAATAAAGAAGTAGAAGCATCCTTCTTTCATGGAACTTACATTCTAGTAGAGTATATAAAATTTTAAATATAATAAATATATTATTATTTTGATTATTATGCTGTGGCATTATCTATTTCCCTTTCCCAGTTCATTCTCCTGTTTTCCTAGATATAGGGAAACAGGATGGTACTGATGAGGGAGAAAGTTGCAGTTTTAAATAGTCTGGTTATGGAAGGCCTTAGGAAAAGATGACATTTGTGTAAAGAACTACTAGGAGCTAAATGAGCCAGCTGTTGCCAACTGTGAAAATGTATCAGACAGGAATAGCAAGTAGAAACTGTGCCTCCCCCCGCCCCCAAAAAAAGGAGTAACAAAATATTTAGGATGCTGGTAAGGCTAGAGAATTGAACAGAGGCAAGAACAGAAAAAGAGGGAAATGTGGGACAAAAATTAAGTGTGATACAAATTGTATAGACCATGTAGCCATAGTAATTCTTTGGCTTTTACTGTGAGAGGGATACAGAGCAGTTGGTGGGTTTTGAAAAGAGAATGTCATCCCATGCTCTAATATACATTTTTAACAGCATCACTCTTGCTGCTGAGTTGAAAATTACAACAAATAGAGACAGAGAGACCAATTAGGAGGCTATTTTTCACAGTCAAGAAATGGTGTGAAAAGAAAGAAAGGAAGGAAGAAGTGAAGGTATTAAGAACTAATAAGAAAGAAAGAAGAAAGAAAGCAGTGAAGGAAGGTATTAAGAACTAGAAAGAGGGCTGGGGATGTGGCTCAAGCAGTAGCACGCTCGCCTGGCATGCGCATGGCACTGGGTTCAATCCTCAGCACCACATACAAACAAATTTGTTGTGTCTGCCGAAAACTAAAAAATAAATACTAAAAAATTCTCTCATTCTCTCTCTCTCTCTCTCTCTCTCTCTCTTTCTCTCTCTCTCTTTTAAAAAAAAAAGAACTAGGAAGGAAGGAAGGCAGGATGGAAGGAGTGAAGGTATTAAGAACTAATAAGATTCTATTTTGAAGGCAGAACCATCAGGATTTGATGACTGTTTTTTCTTAAGATGTGAAGAGTCAAATTTAACCACATGATTTTTTGTCCTCAACAACTAGATTCTGGAAGGGTAGGGTAGCGTTTAACTAACTGAAATGGGAATGTTTGGAGGAGAATATTGAGGAACTCAGTTTTTCCTGTACTGTTTTGAGTGCCTATTAGACCTCCACATAGAGATGTCAAGTAGACCATTAGATACAGAAATCTAGAATTCTAGGAGAAGTTCAAGTTAGAGACAAATAAATTTGACAGTTGTCAGCATGAAACACTATAAGATTGTTCAATATCACCAAAGGGAAGAGTGTTATAAAGGAGAGAAAAGACCTAAGGGCAGAGTTCATGGGGCATTCCAATATTAAAAGGTGTGAGAATAAGTGTCAATAAGAGGGGACAAAATCAAAACAGTAGAAACTAGGTGAAATCTTTCCATAAAAAAGGGAGTCATCAGCTGTGTCAAAATGCTGCAGGTAGATTAAGATGAAGACTGAGAAATGTCAGTTGAATTTGACAACATGTATGTCTTTTGTACATTTAATCCTCACAAGAATAATTCTGAAACACTTTAAGCTGTGGAGAAAATTCAGATTAATGTAACAAAACGTCTTCCACACAGAGTTAATAGATTTTAATAGTTTCTAAAATTTGATTTGGATTTGTACTTTTAAATAAAAACATTATAAGTTAATTCGCTCATTCAAAAAATATTAACTGAATGCCTACTGGTTGCCAGGCTCTTATTCTGGGGACTTGGAATTATTGCCATCAAGCAAGAGAAAATAAACTGTAAATAATGTGTTATAAAGTGGTAACTGGTATGGGAAAAGAAAAATATATACATATAGCAGGGTAGGGGGATCTGGAGTACTGGGCTAGGAGGTAGAGGGCAAGTTGTAATAGGATGGTCCAGGTACACCTTACTGCAAAGATGATATAAGGAAATTTATCTGAGGGAAGGTAGTTTCAGATAGATGGAAAAGAGGGCACAAAGGAGAACAAAGTCTACTTTGTTCCCCTTCCCAATCCGTTCTCCTTTCCTCCCTAGAAGCAACCTATACAACATTCTAGTCTTTGTTTTTATACTTTTTGCTACATTTATATGTGTCCACTAGCATTGTTAATTATTGATTCATATGAACAATCATGCCATGTTTGCTTTCTTTTACTCAAACTTATGAATGAAACATGTAAATCTATGTCATTTGTTATAATAAGTCAATATTCTATAAATATGCCTCAATTTGTTTTTTTTCCCCTCTCACAGCAGTATTGTATTAGCATTCTTGATACACGTTTCTTTGTGCATAAGTGAGAGATTTCAGGCTTTATATCTGGGCTATTCATATGCATTTTCAACTTCATTAGATATTACTAAGTTATTATTCAATTTCTCATATCAATAGTGTATTAAAAGTACTATTTCTTGTGCTGGGGTTGTGGCTCAGTGGTAGAGCGCTCACCTAGCACGTGCGAGGCCCTGGGTTCGATCCTCAACACCACATAAAAATAAATAAACAAAGGTATTGTGTCCAACTACAACCAAAAAATAAATATTTACCAAAAAAAGTACGATTTCTTCTTGTCCTCACCAAACTTCAGTATTTTCAGTTATCATTTTTTAATTTTTAGTGATATATATCTAAATGTTTCCTGAGAAACTAAGATGACTCCAGAATATTTTATTACTAACAAAGACTAATATTTTATTATCATCAAGGATAGAATTTACTCAATATTTTTTAAAACTTAAGTTTTCTTTAAGACCTATTCTTGCAGTTTATTAAGCCAACTCTCATTTCTGTAAATTCTGAATTATGGCATTAATTGCCAGCTCTAAACTAGCACAAGATGGAAAGGTTGTCAAAACCTTAAAATTTAAATGAGGAATTACTTGTTAGCTTTAATAAAATGTTCAATAGGGGGAAAGCATAGAAGATATTGTTACAGGGTGTGTGTATCTTAATAAACCATGCAATTTAGTTCCCATGATTGTTCTTATATTCCCATATTGTCTAACAGTATTGTTGTTATTAATATGTAAAAGTGGGCTAGAACACTTCGTTTTGAGATGGTTATTATCAGATGCTGAAAAAGTACTTCTTTGACACATAAGAAGTTTGATTTTATCCAGAAATAAAAGGTTTACTAATTTAAATATAAAAATATTTGAGTAAATTTTATCTTACTGTCTTTTAGATTAACAAATAGAAATATAATACACAAACCTGTGGAATGGACTTTAATTGCTGTGGTGTTGCTGTCATCGTAAGTACTCTTTCAGATTTTAACTATAAATTTTGATTAGTGAAAAACAAAGGAATATACTAATTTGATAAACTGCCTTGGAAAAATGTTAGATCTCTATTTTGTGCCTTATTTTTCTTATAGGATAAAATAGTTTTCATGTAAAGTGATATACCATATTTTGATAAGCTATAATCATTCTCTTTATACTTTTTATCTTTCCTTCTGAGGACTCTGTTCTTCACAAATACTATTATCTTTTGAAAGAAGAACATATCCATGTGGAATAAATACAGAATAGTTCTTTAGTTTCATTTTCAATAATCCATTTTATTAATACTGAATGAGCATCATGATTTTACATCTGTATTTTTATCTCATGCTATTTCAACATACTTTAATAGCATCAGAAAAGATTTTTTTTTCCCAAATTGATGTGTATTTTAAAATCTAACAAATTTAAAGGAACTAAATGCTTACTATACAGCATATATAAAACATTTAATACTCATTCACCTTTTAGGAAGCCACTTGTGGTTTCTAAGACTGTTTTTCAATCGAGTTAAAACCGTCTAATAAGTGTAGTGTTTTTCAGCTTGAATTGTAAAAATCTTTTGAGGACCATTCATTACTGCATTACTGTTGCTGCCTAGTGCTTGTTAGGTCATCAAAGCCCATAGGACATCAAAAACTTACTGGACATTCACAGGTCAAGAAGTGTTATGAGTCAACCTCATAGCATTTCCAGCCCTGCTTTCTCTTTCTTTGATATTACTTCAGTCTGACATGTTATTCTGGCTTCACTGTCCCAAGAAAGGCTATGCTGAGAAGCATTAGAGTAGGCTTCAGTGAACCAGAATCTGTGTCACCCAACCAGATACAACTCACATGATTCATTAAATCAGAACACAGAAAATAACTTTACTTGAATGCCCTGATATAAATTTTTTATCAACCATAAGAACAAATCTTTTGTCATTTCTACTATTCAGTGTTCCAGTTGAATTGGTAATTTGTGAAACAGATCTTATTAATTTTTTAGAAAGTTCTTTCTACTTTATGAAATGTGTAAATATTTTGGTCACTGGCAGAGAAAACCCCAGTATCTCTGCTTACCAGCCGTATCATATGCCTGCTCATAAACCCTCATAGACAACTGTTTAACTGTACTTCTGCAATTCATTATACTAAAGAGGAAGTAACTTTTGGTTGACAAGTTAAAGGCTTAGGCCCAGCAGTAATCTCAGAATCTTGCTTCCTAATCTAGTGACTGGAAATATTATCTTCATGAACAGCTGCTTACTAAGGACATGATAGGTCCTACTTTTTTTGTACTAAATTATTGTCACATCTCCAAAATGTATAACAAGGAACAAAAAAGTAAAGAAAATGAAATAATAAAAGCTACATTAAATTCATGTAATTATTCTGTATAAAAATAAACCTCCAATGTTTGATTTTAATAGAGGTACCATGTGGCACAAAATATTAAAAGCTTTGCTAGTCCTTTTATGCACTATTTGACTTCCCTAACTTTTAATGTAATAGGGAACCTCTTATTTCAAGGGTCAGTGACCCATAAAAAATAACAGCTTAGTTGAATTCAAGAAACAAACTGTATACATCTTAGGTTTATTGCTTGTTTTATGTGTGCAGTACATACTGAAGTTGTATTAGTAAACACTGTTTTGTCATTCATCTTCTCTTTCATTAATATATCCTAACCCCTACTGCTAGATCTAACTTCTTTTTTCCTAGTCATTGAGCCTTTTAATTCCTGGGCTACTAAAATTCTTTCCAGTTTAGGCCTTTATGACTCCTTTTTAAATCTTTGGTCACTATAGGTACCAAAGCAGATGGTATTTCCTAGGTTTTTGCTTTTGAAATCTTCTTTTCTCATAATTCTCTCACACCTCAGGCCCGCCTTAAAATTCCTTTTCATTCTATGTTTGCACATTTTGTATCCTCAGATTCTAACTGAATCTCCTTATTATTTGATCATCAGCTTCTAAGACTTCTATCTCCTCCCCGTATTGTTTTATTTCTTATTTTTTCTTTTTTCAGAAAGTCCCTTTTAGCTCTTCATATTTCTGTCCTCCAGAGAACCTATGGCTCAGCTGATAGCTCTTGTTATCCTCAACTTTGTCCTTTTATCACTCTTTTGTGGTGTCTATTAGTATACTAGTTAGAGATAAAATTAAAACATATTAATTTATATTTCCACCCTGCTTTTCTTCCAACAGTTAACACTTTTTTTTTTTTTTTCCATGCTTGGAATTAAACTCAGGACCTCACACATGCTATTCTACCACTGATCTACACCATATGCTATTCTACCACTAATCTACACCCCCAGCAACAGTTTACTTTTTAGAGAAGGTAACGTCATTGGGAAAAGAAAAAGCAGGCATAAGGGCCAGCATTGGATAAAAGCCTGATGGTGAAAAATATGGAGACTTTAAACACCTAAAGAGACATACAAACACATTTGTGCAGGATTAACCCTTTTTATCCTTACTTATTGCCACTAAGACTGAATATAGCATACAAAAGAATATCTCTTTAAAAAAAAAAAAGTATGATTCAGAAAACCTTCATATCTACTTGCAAATTTCCAATGGAATCCTTTTGATCATAACTTGTAGGCATTTTTTAAATTCATATTTAAAAACCAAGTGTCTGGGGGCGGGGGTGCACACCTGTAATCCCAGCAGCTTGGGAGGCTGAGGCAGGAGGATCACAAGTACAAAGCTAGACTCAGCAAAAGCGAGGTACTAAGCAACTCAGTGAGACCTTGTCTCTAAATACATACAACATAGGGCTGGGGGTGTGGCTCAGTGCTCCTGAGTTCAATCCCCAGTACCCCCCACCAAAAAAAAAAAAAAATTCTTGTAAGTCTTTGTACCTAAGAAAAAAATTGAATGGTAGTTGTGAATCACTGAAGAAGAATACATAATTACTTTACATAAAAAGTACTACTATAATAATGGTATTATTCTTTATATATGCATATTGCAGATTTTGATTACTAACATGTTTAATGCATGAAAGCTGTTTTCAAAATTTATATAATCCACTTAGAAAAGGATACATATACACACACTATGTAATTGGTATGTTGCTTTGGTAGTTCCAATCTAACTCTTGTTAGTGGAAGGCCAAGGGATCAACATTCTGACTAAAATATGAGCGTCCAAAGCAACAGAAAAAGCTGGGGCCTGAATTTTCTTCAGAGTAAATAACCTATTTCTGTAGCACATCATCTTTTCCTGGTGACTTCCACTATGCTTTCACAGATGTATTAACATTAAACCCATTATGCCCCAATGTCCCATATATAGTATACCTATAAACACTTTAATTGAGCAACAACAACTTTGTTATTCCTCTATATGGGACACTGGGGATAACATCAACTTTGTTATTCCTCTATATGGGACACTGGGATATAACGAACTTTTAAAAAATTTGGGCCACATCAAATAATTTATCAGAATAAATTACAATTATGGGACTAAAATTGTGGGAATTTTATACCATTATAATCTCAGAAATTTGATCAAATAGAGTATGTACAATTGATCATTAAATGCTCAGTGAAGGGCTGGGGATGTGGCTCAAGCGGTAGCGTGCTCGCCTGGCATGCGCGGGGCGCTGGGTTCGATCCTCAGCACCACATAAAAAATAAAATAAAGATGTTGTGTCCACCAAAAACTAAAAAATAAATTTAAAAAATGCTCAGTGAAATGCATTTACGTATGAAAATACATAATTATTCATTCCCATTTTATTTAGATTTCTTAATAATTATATGGGATATGAATGGCTATTGTGATTGCAACATTTATTGATATTTATACTATATATTCCCTAGCTTTATACTATATATTCCCTAACTAGTAGCCAGGAATACATAGACCATTTAAACAGAGTTTAAGCAGTATACATTTATTTTACAATGAAGGGATTACTTTCCTTTTGGTTCCCTCATTCTTATTCAGTGAATGTTACAATTAAGGATTTTCAAGAATTCATTATACATAATAGAATATCTGTAATAGTGAAAATTGATTGACCCTGTTTTTATTAAGAACCAATTAATTTTGTTGAATTAAACTTTATCATACTTTACTCTTATATCAGGTTTTATTCCTGGAAAAGGCCAATATGTTGAAATAATACAAACTTGAATCAGTTTTTCCAAGTAAATATGCCTTAATAAGATACTAGGCTCTTTTCACAGTCTTGGATGTATGCCTTTTAATTAAAATGTGTATATATGTGTGTGTCTGTATCATTTTCTATAAATACTTAAGTAACTGTATACTATGTACAACCTGTTAATGTATATTTTGAAGTGTTTGTGTACCAAATTAGAAAATGCAATAACAAATTACACTAAAATGCATTTTATGATGTGGTGTTATACTGTGTCATATATTCTTTTTCATATTTCTCATAATTACCATTTTACCCACAATATCGGAAAGAAGCACTTTTCGTTGTGGTCACAGTATTCAGAATAGTTTCTTTGAGATTTTGACAGGCTATTTTGAGAAGACTTTATAGCTACAGGATACCTCCCCTCAGTTCTTCCCCCATCTCTCCTTTCCTTCTTCCCTTTGCTTTTATTCTTCCTCAATGTTCTTTGACCTCTGTCATTATTCTTGAGCCTTTAACAGAAGAGGAGATTGCCAGTGCTGAAAAATCTAGGGAAAGGTCCAGACCAAAACCAAAGAGAAGCCATCAAGAAGCAGATTGACTTGCCTGAGTTCCTCTATGTGTAGCTCGAGTGCCAGAAATGAGAATCAAGTTTCTTCAAGAGGACTTGTAATTAAAATGTAACTTTTTTCACCTAAATTTAATATGGAACCTTTATAAATAGACTACTACTTTTGATTCTGGCATGGGTGGCCGTGGAGAGAGAGATGTGTTGCATTCTATGGGAATTACTTAAATTATCTGATGAAAGACATGAATACTTATTTTGTATTACTTAGAAAAGATGGAGGGAAAGTGACTTGTAGTAGTCTAATATTGATACATCTATTCCTACTTTTATGCCCTTGATTCTCTCTAATGGAAAGCTTTCAAGACTATCTCCAAAAATGTCCGCTTTCATTTTATTTATCTGAACTGGCTGTTTCCAGTGAACTGTGGCCTGCTTCCTAGGCAGAGACCGTGCAATAGTTTATTCCCTCTAAAAGCTTTGTGTATTCCTGTCGTTCAGGGAGTAGCATGTAAGTCCTGGGAAATGGTATTTAAACAAACTCAACTTGACCATGATCACTAAACAAAAGCCATCACTGGACACGGACAGCCACTTTCGGTAACCATCATACAGATAGATACTCTGGAGAGTCCCTTCCCTAGGGCTACCAGGCATGAATGGAAAGATGTGACTAAGGCTTTTTACTTCAGCATGCTATTTTTTTAAAGGCTGCCCATCACTAATTTCCTCATAAAAATTTGTGAACATACCATGAAAAAACAAAGAGGTGGTTCCTTAGAAATTTATTGGTTCTTAGGAGTCTTCGTAAGTCTTTCTTTTAATATTCTAAATTTAATTTGGGGTATTTGAGACCATACTAAAAGATAATTAAAATTATGTTTTATAGTATCTTATATTTATGGAATCTCATAATTGAATTTTATTAAAACAAAATTTACCATTTTATTGTATATGGTTCAACTGGTTTTTAGTAAATTCATTGTATTGTGCATTCAGTGCTATCTAATAACAAAACATTTTCTATCATTCCAAAAGGAATCTTTGTATTAGATGAGTTCCAGTTTCCCTTTCTCCCATTCTCTGACAACTTACCACTCACTCTCTATCTCTGTGGACTTTCCTATTCTGAACATTTTATATAAATGGAATTCTATAATCCATGCTCTTTTGTGCCTGGCTTCTTTCACTTAACACATTTCCAAGGTTTTTGTTCATAGTATAGCAAATAATAGTACTTCATCTCTTTTTATGACTAGATAATATTCCATTGTATGGATATACCACATTGGTTTACCCACTCATCAATGATGGTCATTCCGGTTATTTCCACTTTGGGGCAGTTATGGATAATGGTGCTAAAATATTCGTGTTCAGATTTTTTTCTGTGAACATATTTTCAGATCATATAGGGTATTTATCTTGGTGTGGAATTGTTGGATCATATGATAACTCTGTATTTAGTCACACACACACACAAACCAACCTCCAAACCCCAGTGGCGCTTTACCAATGAACTATATCCCTTGCCATTTTTTTTTTTTTTTTAAGACACCATCTCACTAAGTTACCCAGGCTGGCCTTGAATTTGAGATCCTTCTGCTTCAGTCTCCCTAGTCACTGGGGTTACAGACATGTGCCACATGCCCAATTTATATTTAACATTTGGAGGAACTACCAAACTGTTTTCTTCAGCATTCTATATTTCCACAAGCAGTGTATTAGGACTCCAGAGATTGAACTGTAAAAGTCATCTCATCTTACACTCACTAGTGATTTTAGGGTTTTATATATACACTTTTCCCCAAACTTAAATATTTCTCTTCTAATTGATTTTAGACCTTCATCAATTTCTTATGTTCTAAAAGTTTCTGTAACACATGTAAAATGAGTACCTTTAAGCCAAAAAAAGAAAAAAGTCATAGTGTTAAAGTTATTTATCTATTTTAGTACTGAGAATTGAACCCAGGAGTGCTTAACCACAGAGCCACATCCCCAACCCTTTTTATTTTTTATTTTGAGACAGGGTCTTACTAAGTTGCTTAGAGCCTTGCTAAGTTGCTGAGGCAGCCTGCCTAGTTGCTGAGATTACAGGTATGTGCCACCATGCCCCAGCTCATAGTTTTGAATTTAAGACTACATAAATAATATCTCAGCAGTACCTAGTGGTATTTCCTTTGGATTCCTCAGTATCCAAAAAATGCCTTTTTTGTTTGTTTGCTTATATATTTCTATATCGTTCCTGAACTAATTACTGAGTTTATATAAGAAAAAACTTTTTTTTTAACTGAAATATCTTTACCGTCAACCAGCAGCACTTTGTAGATAGGACTCAGATGCTTTCTAAAGAAATAATAGTTTTAATTTTTTATCAAAGCCTACCTTCTACAGTGATTTTTTTCCCCCTGTTATCCCTGGAAAATGTATAATGTTCATTTTATTTTAATTCATAAATAGTTGAGAGTCCCCTCAAGCCTTAATCCATATTAAAAGTCACCAGTGTTCAAGAGCTGGGGTTCCATCCTCTGCACTAGTGAAAAGATGTGCTCTCCATTTTGTCCATCCCAAGCAGCTGCAGCAGTGGTAATAAGAGCAGCCAACAGCAGTTAGCCCTCACCAATGATTACCTCAATTTCAGGGGCCAGTCCTTATATCTACCAGTGCCATCTTTACATATGACTGAGCTCACCAGGAGCTAGGAAGCATGAGATTTACAGTTACTGTTGACGGCGCTGTAAGAATGTTACAGTCATTGTGTGTGGACCTCCCCAGTTCACTCTGCTGAAATTTTACAGCATTTGGGATTGGGAGGGACTAGATCCACTATTCTAAGAGAACTGCCACATAGCAACAATTATGAAAAGTTTTTTCCAATACTCTACGAAGCTGCTCTATAAACTTGTTACAAACAGGATTTAGATATAAAGTTTTAAAGTCACTACCACCCAGCCCCTTAAATAAACATACATGTAATATATCACTACAAAGTGATTTACAAAGAACTTGTTCCTTTGAATTAGAAATATCAATGGAAAGCATCCCTGCTTCCTTATTAATAGGTAATCCTAAAGCATTAAATGCAAACATAATCAGGGCATAAGCCATATGTTATAAGAAAAACATTTTATTTTATTTGGCTGTCATAATCAAAGTTTTTATCTTTGTTTTCTAGATAATAGTTCTGAACTAGAAAACCTATAATGACATCCCTCTTCAGTGTATATTCTTGTCTTCTTTCTTTGTTTCTCGTGGAAGTCCTTAGTAGCCTTACATGCCTGTTGGTTTTTGAAATTTTGGGTCCTTAGCTTTGTGCCTATGATAAAAATAATGGCAATTTTCATTTGTATAATTAATTTTTATTAAACAGAGGGTTTTTAAAAAATGTAATTTCCTTACCCCAAAGACAATCTTTAACTTGTATATGGATCTCATAAAACCCTAAAACTCACACTCATTCTGGATAATATCCTGTTTTTATCTGTAACAAGCAGTGTAGCCTTGCACAAATTATGTAACCTCATATTTTACATTGGCATTGTGACGGATTGCACTAAATCCAGATTAAGTCAACTTGGCAGTGCAAATTCAACTATAAGATGTTCCAAGTAAGAAACTATTCTCTCTCTCCTTTTTTTTTTTTTTTTTTAATGAGACAAAGTCTCAGTGTGTAGCCCAGGCTAGCCTCAAACTCTTGGATTCAAGTGTTCCTCCTGCTTCAGCCTCCCAGGTGCTCATAATTGCACCCAGTTAAGAGAGAGTTCTGATGCACTATATCAAGAGAGATAATGAAAATCGGTATTTTTAGCATAGGAAACAGTTTAATTTTGTCATAGAAATTCATGGTGACATTGCCCAAGTGTTTACTTTGTTAGGTTTCTTAATAAGCTTGACCAAAAAAAAAAAAAAAAATAGATTTAAATGATGTCTACTCACTCTGTAGAAGGAGTACATAGTGCACTTTTAATTAAATGAGAGGAACATCCCCAAGATTCCTTTAGTCTGTACTGAAGACTTTAGTTGACATGACATTTTTGTCAGTATCAAAGATGAGAATGTTCTCTGAATGCAAAAGGAAATAGTAGAGTGGTATGTTACTTCAACATAATACTAAAGGTGACAAGTTGATTTTTTAAAAGGTTAAAATGTGTTTTAAAACTCCATTTTGCTTACAGAATCCCCACTATATCTGTGAGCCTTTTACCTCTTCCAATTTATTCTTTTTTTTTTTTTTTTTCATTTTTACTCCTTACTTTCCCCCTACCCCACTGATGCTAAGTGTTCACTGATACAACTTCTTTGACCCAGGTACTCTAAAGTAACCTGAGTTTCTTCTCTGGTATAGTACTATAAAAAGGAGAGATAGATACATTACTTGAAGCCCTGATTTTTCTTCTGAAGAGTTTATTTGTACATTTTTTGTCTTTAATGTCATGCATGAAAACCAGTGTGAGTAGAACCCATGTATACCTTGAAATTAGGAAATTCATACTTTGCTATAGCATCATAACTGGAAATCAGTGTAGAAGCAGCCACATATACAATGATAAAAAATTTTTTAAATGTTTAGAAACCGGACTAAAAAAATAGCCAACAAATATCTTTTGAGTACCACTTTGGGTTAGACTATCTTAGACCCTATAAGGGATGCAGAGGTTACACAAATCCTCTGTTCTCATAGACTTTATAGCTACCTGGAGGTTGTGTAAAGGAGGAGATTGACTTGTACACAAGCATTACAATAAAAAATTGAATGTGTTAAATGCCAAAAAAGCACAAATTCTTATGGGGCTTCAAATCTCAGTTCAGATTATAAAAAGATTTTATAGAAGTGGGCTATTGTGGATTCAAAAAACAAGATTTCAAGAAGTAGAATGAACAGATAAGTGCATCCTAGGAAGCACTTATAGCTCAAAAAAAGCAAAAAGAGATATAGTCAAGAGTACAAGGTAACTAGAAAGAAAGGTTGGGTTTATTATGAGAAAGATTTTTTTAATGGCAGGTAAACTTAATTCAGGAGGAATGAAAATCATTTAAATTTGAGCAAGTAACATCATAAAACTTGTACTTTAGGAAGATTAGTCTTGCAGAGATCTGGAATCAAAACTGATCTTCTCTTCCACATTGCACCAGCCTTCAGAGACTTTTAATTACTCTTAAAGTAAAACCTCTTATTGTGGTCTACATGGCCCTGCTTGGCCTAGGCCCTATTTATTTCTCCAGACTCCCTACCTCATTCTCCTCATTCCTGCCTCTCTGATCTTCTTTCATAATTTTCTCATCATACTCTCCCAGAATAGGACATGAATTCAGTTCTTTTTTCGCTCTCTTCCCTTCATTAATTAATTCCCTTTCATCATTCAGAACTTAAGGAACTTTCTCCTCAAGAAACTTCTTTACTTCCCTGACTGGATCAACTGTCTCTATAAAGAGGCTCTCATAACACCATATACTTCTTCCTAGCAGTTTTTCTGATTTCTGTTCAATCGTGTGATTACTTGATTAATGTTTGCCTACTTCACTTAAAGATTTTTAGGTGCTGGTTCTATGTCAGATTTTACACACCATTATAAACCTAATACTTAGCATTTTGCCTAGAACATCGCCAAGTTACAAAAATATCTGAAAGAGAATGAGTGACTAAATGGATGAGAATAGTTTGGAAGCTATCAGTTCTTGCTCTTGTTGACTCCTTCTTTCCTACCTGCCTAAATGTGTTCATTCATCTTTAAAAAATCAAAACAGATAGGTTGAGGTTGTAGCTCTGTGGTAGAGCACTTGCCTCGAATGTGTGAGGCACTTGGCCTCAACACCAAATAAAAATAAATAAAGATATTGTGTCCATGTACAACTAAAAAACATTTTTAAAAAAGCAAAACAGATAAACACACCTGACCTTTGTCCGTCACCTCAGACTATCATCTACTTACCTTTCAAATATCTAGAATCGCTCATCTGCTCTAAGTGGTTCCAGTGCCTTTTATTAATCCCTTGCATTCTGCATTTTCTCCCCACAATTTATGGAATTGATTTTCCCAAAGCCACTGCTAGTAATTATCTAGTTAAACAAAAACAATGAGGTGATGAACTAAAGGAATTACAGCGAAAAAGAAAAGGGAAAGAAATGAGGAGAGAGACATTATAGCTCTAAAATCTACAAGGTTTAGCAATGGAGAAGAAATCAAAGACAACTTCAAGATATTAAAGGTAGATGGCTGGGAGGTATTAGTGCCTTTAGGGAAGTAGGTTAGATGAACTAATTGGAAATATTACAGTTGGTCTTACACCTGTTCTGGAAGTATTGAGACTCTTCCCGTTCAGTTTAATATTCAGGCATATTAAACAGTTAAATGGTACCCCCGTAAGTAGTTTAAAAATGTGGAAAAAGAGCTGACGAATGGAAGGAAAACCAGAGATCTAGATCTTGGATTAAGTATTGGGTTGGGTGAGATGGCTAGGTAGAGAATGTTCAGAGTCAAGATAAAACAGAATCTTGTAGAACAATCACACACAGGCCAGGGATGCCTAGAGAATACAGAGAAAGTGGGAAAGGAGGAAGATTAGAAACAGACTTTTTTTTTTTGACACTGTGTGGTGGATTTTTACATTTATATCTCACAGTTCATTCCACTTACCAAAGGAAGAGAGACTCTGAAAAGACAAGCACCTTTTCCAAGCTTGTCAAAACTAGAATACAGGCTCAATTCTAACTTCAAAACATGAGTACATCACTTCACAGAGTGAATTAGAAAGGAATGTATATAATCAGAACACTGTCAAGGAATCTAAAGTGCATTTGAGGTTCAAGGTAGTAACTATCTTTCTGAGGAAGAGGTAGTTGTCCTCTGAATAAAGATAAAGGCTGACAAAAGACAGTGGTTCTGGGCTGGGGATGTGGCTCAAGCGGTAACGTGCTTGCCTGGCATGCGCGGGGCGCTGGATTGAATCCTCAGCACCACATAAAAATAAAATAAAGATGTTGTGTCCACTGAAAACTGAAAAATAAATATTAAAAAATTCTCTCTCTCTCTCTCTCTCTCTCTCTCTCTCTCTCTCTCTCTCTCCTCTATCTTAAAAAAAAAAAAAAAAAAGACAGTGGTTCTGGCAAGTAAGTAATTGTAGTGGGTTGACCTACAGTTTCCATAATGACAGACATGGAAATCAGATTGCAAAGGCTGCTGTAGTAGACAAGTGTTGAGATACTAGACATGTGTTAGTTGGCTTTTCATTGCTGTGACCAAAATACCTAATGAGAACAACTTGGAAGAGGAAAAGTTTACTTGAGCTCATGGTTTCAGAGATTCAGTCCATTGTCCGCTAGCTCCCTTTGCTCTCGGCCTAAGGTAAGACAGAACATCATGGCAGAATGGCATGGTAGAGGAAAGCTGTTCAGCTTGTGGCAACCAGGAAACAGAGATCTAGGTGCCAGGGACAAAATATAAACCCCAAAGGCACACCCTCAATGACGCCTTCCTCTATCCACAACCTACCTGCCTGCAGTTACCACTCAGTGCAGTAGTCCTTTCAAATTATTAATTCATCAAATAGATTGATCCACTGGTTAGGTTACAACTCTCATAATCTAATCATTTTCACCTCTGAACATTCTACATTGTCTAACATGAGCTTTGGGGGAATACCTCATATCCTAATCATAACAGTATGGCAAATGTTAACTGCTCTTTTCATATGGTTAGCAAAAGATGAAAGAAAGAGAAGGATTATAATCTGAAAGGATACAATAAGTCTTCAGAAAACTTCACAAGATAGAGGAGGCTTGAGTTTGTTGGTATCAGAGGGGAAGGAGACACTGGACTGGCAGGATAAGAAGAGTGAAGGGTATCTGTGGAATGTGGCCTGTGAAGAGACTGGGAATGTCGTCAGATGCCTTTTATATTTTTTTCCTTAATGCCTTTTGTCCATGTCTTTTTCCCATTGCTTCCTCCATGTTTTTCTCTGCTTGCCTTGAATGTCAGTGTTGTTTGGTGACATTTTTGCCTCCTCGTCTTAATTTCAAAAGTGAGTGAACTAAGGCTGGTGGCATAGGCAGTAGAGCACTTGCCTGGCACATACAGGGCCTTGGGTTCAATCCCCAATACTGAAAATAAATAAATAAGCAAATAAACAGAACTTGTATATTTCTGCTTCCAGAAACCCATATTAATTCCTCATTAGTGGCTCTGATTGATTCTTTCCCCTTACACCACCATGATCAGCCCTGGAGAATTAATTTCGAGCAGCATAAGCTTGAGCTATACAACCTCTATGCTTAATTCTGGTGACCTTTTTATTTTTTTCTACATTAGTGATTTTTACCTTCCTGGCCTTTTCATTTTCCATGACCAACAAATCAGTCTTAGGGACATAAACGTGTAATTCATTTGCCAAAAAAAAAAAAAAAAAAAAAATTATATACATATATGTCTCTATATGACAATAAGACACTGTCCATTCATTCAAATATTGTGTTTTGACAATGTGTAAACAATGCTAAATGAAGAAAGATGTCTATAGTAAATAAAGTGAATTTGAAATTGTTTTCTTATAAAAACATAAAGTCCATGCATTAAGGTCATTGTCTTATTTACTTTTATCTCCTTAATGCCAAACGTGCAATTTGGCATTTGGTAATTGTTCACTGAATAAAGCAAATGAATGGAATAAAGCAAATGAATGGATGAGAAAAACTTGGATAAATTATTGTTGATATTATCCTTCAACAAAGATTTGGTGACACTGGCAAAATTACATTGCACGTGAAAAAGGAAAAAAAAGCTGCTTATGATTATGAATAGAAGGAAGGACTTTCATTACAATCAGAAGCAACCTCTATATTGATTTATATTTTTCCAGGGTTGGTGTAATCTTATAAAGAAGTGACTATTTAGCCTAAAGAAAATTGCTGCTTTTAACCATATCTAGCATTTTGGT